TGTGGCTGTGGAGGTGTTTTGGAGACCAGTTAACTTTAAAGGAGATTTTTCTCTATAATCTGGGTGGGCCACATCCAGTCCATTGAAAGATCTGAAAAGCAAAATTGATGCTTCCTTGAGGAAGAAAAATTCCACCTATGGACAGCAAGGTTAGTTCCTGCCTATCTGAGATCTATCCTATGGATTTCAGACTCACCAGCCCCACAGTCACATAAGCCAATTCTGTAAAATAAATACACACATACACACACACACACACACACACACACACACACACACACACACGGTGGGCTGTTTATCTCTATGGTTCTGCATCCATGGATTCAACCAACTGCCAACTGAAAATATTCAGAAAAAAACTACATCTGTACTGAACATGTACAGACTTTTTTTTCTTGTCATTATTCCCTAAACAATATGGGATACCAACTATGTACATAGATGTACACTAAATTAGATGTTATAAGTCATAGAGGTAATTTAAAGTATATAGGCAGATGTACATAGGTTCTATGCAAATACTATAACATTTTACTTAAGGGACTTGAGCATCTTATGTGGGGAGGGGGGTGTCCTGGATCTGCTCCTCACAGATGCTGTGGGACTGATATATATATATATATATATATAATTTGTGTGAGTATGAGTGTGTTTAACTATGTGCATGTCCTCCTGATCCTGTCTTTCTGGTAGAACCCTGACTACTACATCTTTAAACCCTTAATTATGTAATTATCATAGAAATTGAGCACTTCATTTACTATCTTGAGTTTTCTCCTTATTTCATGGATGATTATCTTAGGGCCCCACAGCCTGGGCGTTTATTCCCAGTGCACTAGGTGCCAAGCATGTTCTCCAGGCTATGCATATGTGTCAGTTAATGTGGTGAGTCCCAGACTGTAACTAAAGAAAGTAGAAGCGAAGAGCTTCTCAATGAAGGGGGTTCCTTACTGCTCTCTCTGGGCCCTCCTTGCCCGGCCATATCTCAAGACATGGTACAGAGCCAGGTTTTGAACTAACAGTGATTTTAGTGTTCATTGTTCCGTATGAGTTTTGGGGAAACTTTTAACCACTTGGGGTTTTTCTTTTGTACCTGCGACTTGAGAATTTTACCACAGAATGGAGAGAGTGCTGATAGCTGTTCTGATAAACGTTAAAACTACCCTGAGGTAAGGTTGCATTCCCTGAACATTCATTTCCCAGGAATCATCTGTCGGTCCAGTGTTTCAGGGTTAGCACTTGTTTCTGCCTGTTCTGCACCATGATTATTTATTGTAATTATTATGATAATTTTAGGTCACAGATGCCACAAAGCCCTGGGTGAAACTGAGCTCAGGAGTAAAACTGAGCTTCAGTACATCCTAAATGAAACCTTTAGTTCAGAGCTAAGTGCAACAGGGAGAAATTCCAGGGTCTGCCTCAGTCATCTGAAATTATAGTCAGCAAGGAATTGAATTGAACTGCATTACCTGGACCATTTTCTTGCTCTAGATTTAGCTTCTTGGTAAAAGCACAAGCTTTGAGAAAATTACCTTATGAATCCCAAATTGGGCAGAAAAGAGTGAGGAAATGAGGATATCAGAACATTCTTTTCTTTTCTAACTTGTTCTGCTGGGGAACAGTGATTTATAAAAAATAGAGAGCCCTACCCTGCGCAAGGTAGGAAGGAGAGGAGAACACCTGAGAATTGTCCCTCTCAAGCTGTCGTCGGGCACGGTGAGCTCAGATGGTGTGAATCAAAACTACTCTTGGGCTAGGGCGACCCTTTGTTGTAGAGTGCTTATGAGACCCAGGGTTCAATACCCTAGCAAAACAAAACAAAATTTAACTATTCTGGGTGGCTCACTTTTTGTGTATTTTGAAATCCTTTTAAAATCAGCTCTAAAAATATTAAATCAAGCCAAGCAAAATAGCATTGCAAGTATAGGGTGGCTTCAGTGTTCACATCCTTCACAGTTTGAAAGCTAAAATGAAAACGGGATTTTTGGAATGTTGACCTGGAAACCAGTGCTGAGGGAGAGTCAGCGGCTCCTGCCTGGCCTCCTCTCACTACGTTCTGAGCCCATGGGCCTGCTGGCGTCCAGGAGAGAGCTCCTGAGCCAGTCTTCCCACCCTGGGTGCTTGCCAGGTAGGGGAATGCAAGTGGGCATGACCCTTCCTGATCTGATTGGTTTCTTGCTGGTTCTGACCATTACTGTGGGCCCGCTATGGATTATTTCCTCCTTAGTGACATCCCTCCCTCCTTACAGCTTTGTTATTGGAGGTGAAAGGAGGGAGCACTTGTCAGCATTTGAGTGAACTGAATACATTATTTCGTTCTCCTTTGCAGTCCAAATGAACATGTGGTGGGAAACCCAGTAAGACACCATTACACCCTGCAAGGTCAGCAGAATTTTGCAGCAATGACAACACCACACCACCCATGTAGGAACTCTTTTGCCCAAGGCACTGATCATGATGCACTGCTTTGGAGAGCACCTCAGCATTGTCTAATAAAGGCAAAGAGGGAGCATTTCCACCTGTAGGCCCCAAGGGTTCGACTCTAATGGGGCCAGAGGGATGCGCTAGAATGTTGTCTTTATGCTGGGTATCAGAGCCCCACATTAGAAACAGCTGAGATGCTACTGAGCAGAAGGATGAATGAGTAAGCCATGGTTTTATGCATCAATAAGAATAGACAAACTATAGCTACCCACAACATAGGTGCTCTCTGTCTTGCTCACACCCTCTTTCTCTCTCCCTCTCCCTCTTCCTTTCCCACTTTGCTTCCCCTTGGCACTCCCCTTGTTATGCCTTGTGTGTAGATGTCCCCCCAAAGCCTCATGCAGTCTTCAGTGGGGCTTTTTTCTGAGGTGGCTAGATCTAGAGTGTGTGATGCTGGAATTGATTCATAATGGGGCTAGGCCCGAGGGCACTAGGATTAAGGGCATGAGTCCTATCTGTCCTAAGTCATCTGAATAAGATAAAAGGGGCAGAAAGATGCTGTTAAGGTCTCTTGTTGCTTCTGCTAACTTCCACCCGCCATGAACTGTTGCCCCTCTGTCATGTGCCACCCTGCCTTGGAGCCAGCCAATTATGGACCAAAACCTCTACAAACTGTGAGCTAAATAAGCCTTTCCCCCTTTAACTTTGTCTGTCAGATATTTTGTCTCAGCAATGAGAAAAGTAACTAAGACATCTCTTTTCCTCCCTCCCTCCCTCCCTCTTTCTTTCTCTCTATGCTGGGGATAGAACCCAGGGCCTCATGCATGCTAGGCAAGTGCTCTACCACTGAGCTACAACCCCAGCCCTTGGTCCCTCATAAAAACACAATACTGAGGAACAGAAACAAGTCATATGAGAATGGATATCATATGATTTCATCAACCAAAAGATTAGAAATGGGCAAAAAGCAAGCTCTGTTGATGAGGAATGTAAACATAGATGGCCAATCTCAAAAGCCAAGAGTTGAATTGCTATTATAGAAGCCAAGGTGTTTATCTCTTGGAAGGAGGGGCAGGATGCTGTGGGGAAGCTGAGTGTTTACTTTGTAATTACTCTCTATGCTATGTGGCTTGTGCATGTCTTTGTGTGTTTATCTCCTACACATACCCAACGAGATGGAAAATGGTTCTTTAGAGTTGCTCAGTCAGATGTGGCTCATACTTGCCATTGGCAGGTCGCAGGGTCTTTGTTTCGGTTTTAGGAACCATCCTCTCAAACCTGCCTCACTACAGGGCGTCTCAGATGGACCCAGGCACCCATGCAGCCCTGAGATCACCTGTGTGTCCCTCAGCCATGGTGGTAGGTATCATAGGTCCCCTTTCTCTCCCCACTCCTCAGGGACCTCTTTGGCTGCCTTGAAGTCCCAGGAAGCTGGGACAGCAGGGGGAGCTCCAGCTCTCCAGTGCCCAGCCTCCTGAAAGGCAGGGCCACCTTGTAGGGTAGAGGACTGCCCTTTGGCCAATGAGGGTTCTGAAGCAGGACTCTAGATAACCTTTTAGGGAGGCAGAGGATCTGCCATGATCTGACCTGTGTCTAGTGGCCCTCGCCTGCACCCTTCCCTGGGAGCTGGACGCTGGGCATGCAGCTGTGCCTCTGGTGTGGGGACCCCAGGGCCCTGGCCAAGGGCTAACAGAACCACCAAGGCTGCCAGTGGTTAGTGGCCTCTCATGGATGGACTCACTGTGGCAGAAACCACTGGGGGAAAGACCCGGAGCGCAGACCCCACAGTAATGCTGTGGTCTGACCCTTGAAGGGCTGAGGGAAATACTTCAGCCCCTGTCCACCCTCTTCACTATCCACCCCCCACCAAGGTGCAGAGGTCCTCAGGTGGGAGTGAGCTGCATTCTTCATGCATCACTGCTGCTACTTCCCAAAGCCAGTGTGCAAGGCAGGGCCAAAAGCAGGCCAGGAAACACAGCCAGTAGCTTGGAAGGCTGAGCTAAGCACATAACAGCTTCCCTTTTGCCTTACAGAAGAGTCAAGGCCCCCACCTTGGCAGATAAGGTCATGGTTTTAGGCTACATTCCATCAAAGAATAAACATTTCTTACAGACGCATTAATAGTGGAACAAGGCCAGACATGCAGGCAGGTGGAGCTGTGAACACCTTCCCATTCTCTGAATAGCACAGGTCCTACCCCCCACCTCCTACACCAATGTCCAGAAAGCCTTTCTGGCCCTTCTCCTCTGATACTCCATCCTTACTGCTCCCTGGCCCTTCGTCCTCTCTACCTCCAAAGCTGTGTGTAGCCACACACTGTAGGGTGCGAACAGGGGGCAGGGGAGGCAGGTGCAGATTGATCGCAGATACTGAAAAGGTGAGTATTTGACCATGTCACAGAATATTCTCCTTTCAGGACCCAGGTGTATACAATATTTTTGTGGTGCAATATCTGATCAAATTTCAACAGTGAGTGCCTTGAGCAGTACTTGGAGATCCCGTCCTAAAGGAGTCAGGGTGGGAGTGCTGGTTAGTTCCAGGGAACTCATCTGTGTGCTGCTCCTTTCCCCACATAGGAAGGAATTGTGTCTCCCGGGGATCTGGACCTCGTCATGGCTGATGGACTGGGCATGCGCTATGCATTCATCGGACCGCTGGAAACTATGCACCTCAATGCAGAAGGTATGTGTCTAGGCAGGGCTGAGTACTGAGGTTCTTCATTATTTCTCTGGGTTTGGTGAACACCCATAAGTTGCCCTCTCATTTTTAACTGCTGAATAGAAACAGCAGCACCTGTGGGAGACAATCAGCAGTCTGGGAGATTCACAGGCACAGACTGGGACACAGAACACTGTGCACTGAAGTGTAAACCCACGTGGAATCCATGATCCACGGGCTGTGAGTAGTGACAAAACTGAAAAGAAAGAAAGAGGGACATGATATAATGGAGACTCTTCTGCATTTCCTCCTGCATGGCAGAAGAAAAAGTGCTATTTCCCTGGAGAAGATGAGGAAATTATTTAGAGGCAAGAAGAAAGAAAAAGATGAAAAGGTGTGAAAACTTATCCCTCTGCTGGAGTGCTACCTAAACATGGTAGCACTAAACATGGAAGTGTGCTTCCTCTAGCTGTAGGTCTACCTTGCAGAAGGCCCAGGAGCTGTGAGGCAGTGGCTTCATGGAACAGGAGCCGGTGCAGACACATGGGGTGGGGAGGCGAAGACATTCACCCAGAGCCAATCTCAAAGCTGACCTACGTGAGCCACCATCTGGTAACTCTAAAAGATAACTTGAGGACAAGAGTGAAATTCCATAAACCAGACTTTGAATGGTGTAAAAGAAGACATCTGTAAAACAACCAACCAATAAAGCCTATACCAAATTAAAACAAAATATATCATAAAAGCTATGTATCAAAATCTTGGCAGATGCTACCTAGACGTATGGCTGTCTTTTAGTATTGAAATGATAGGTAACTTATTATCTTTTGTGGTTTTTTTGGTACTGGGGATCAAACTCAGGACCTTGTGCTTACAAGGCCGGCAGCAGCACCACTGAGCTACATCCCGGCCCTAACTTACTGTCTTTTCACTTCTCTGCATTGTCATAAATTTCTATAATTACTCTATATAACTTGAACAGTGACATCTTTAACTGTTAAAACATACTTAGAAAGAAAAAGGAAACATTGTATCTAACTCCATGGTCTACGTTTAACCATGGATATTGAGAAATGGGCTCTTCCAGAAAAAGGTGACTATAGTTATGCATGCGTGTTCCTGTATTTGAAGGGGTGGAACCAGAATGAAAAACTAGAAAAGGCAGGCAGACAAGCTTGGGCTCAGTGTGTGCAGGAAGAACTTTCTAGTAACTGGAACTTGTGTCTGGGAGAGGGCAGGTTGTGAGCGGTGAGCTGGAGAGCTGTGTTTAGGTGTAGAGAGGAAACTCCTGGGTTGACGTGGAAGGGGGAGGTGTGGACCTCTGGGAATCTGTTTGACTTCAGTTTTGTAATTCCATGACACCTTGGTTATTAACTATTGTTCAGTCCATTTTCACCACAGTCGTTCATGAAATACTTTCCCATGAATAATTCTAGGCTGTTTTACTAGACATGTTCTTGCACACAGAGGGTATACATAGGATTTGGGGAGTGGACTGGCTGTGTGTGCCACATAAATGTCCAATAGCTGGTGTGAGTCTTCCTTAAAGTTGAGTGTGGCTAAGAGTAGCTGAAGGCCAAGAGAGAGGACACTCCTCAGCCACTGGCATGCAGTTTTGCAGAAAGATGTCCACTGACCATGGAAAGCTAATGTAAAGAAAGATGCCCACATACAAGTGAAGCAAGATACTTTAAAAGTATCGGGCCAGGGATGTAGCTCAGTGGTGCCATGCCTGCCTGGCAAGTACAAGGTCCTGAGTTCGATTCCTGGTACCAAAAAAGGGTATCATTAAATTAGTCTTGGATAATTTCAGATTTTTTTCAACCAGATCTTGTAAGTGGTGAAGATATTTAAACATTTGAAATGTGTATAAACACTGCCTGATAACTACATATTTTTCTTTCTTTCTTTCTTTCTTGAGAAAAATAAGATAATTGAGGTATTATGAGAAATCAGTAGGGAGAGAACTGAGAACAGCTTTGAGTCTCAAACAAATAGAAACAGAAACCAGTGACACCAGAAACTCAAGAACCAAGTGGGGTGGCAGACAGGAAGGAGGCCTATAGCGATTTTTCAAACAAAGCCGATATGATAAGCAAACCTAATTGCCTTAATATGATAATGCAGGACGGATGTAGTTTTCAACTTCAGAGCATTCCAGAGCCCAGAGTTAGACAGTTATAAGATCTGGCTGGGAATCAGTGGAAATGTCCATTATTCTCCACAGTGTCACCCAGAATATATCAAGATTGGAGAAGGAGAGTTTTTCTCTTTTGGCTGATACTGTTTTCATAAAGTTAAGCCTCTCGGGTTAAGGGGACTCTTTAGTCCTAGAAGTTGCCATTTATCTAGAACTAGTGCAAATATTTTAGAATTTGTTTTTAATCTAATAAAATAGTACCTGAAAAACAGGAAGGCCGTGTGCTTACTCTACTGTTTTGGCTACTTTTTAAAAGCATTGTCCTTGAAGGACAAGCTCTTGGTTCAGTCCTTCTGACCTCAGGAACCAGTCAGTCAGGTCCCTGTTCTGGCTTCCCCCTCATTAGCTGTATAACCTTGAGTCAGTACTTTATTCACCTCAGCTTTCCCATCTGTAAAATGAAATGACAACAATAACCACCTCCTGTGGCTGGTGTGAGAAGTAACCCTGATGGTGGCCAGTTGGTTGGCACAGATTAATCCTTAATAGAAATCTTCATAGAGTTTTGCCTCGTTTAATTTACTGTTCTTCCAAGTTTTTGTTGTTAATTTTTTGTATGTTTATTTGCTTTTCAAAATTTTCCCCAAAAGATTCACATGTGTAGGAGGGAGAAATGCAGACTACAGATTGACTTTTCTTGCTCTGCAATAGGGAGACTTCAGAGTTAAGTGCACGGTTTAACTGGTGTGCTTTGCTGATCTGGGCTACCTCGGGACATCCCTTGAGGCTACTCGGGCTGTCCTCCTCTACTCTTCTCTCTGTAAAATGACATCTCAGAACCTGGTGCCCTGGAATTCACCTCTAGGTGAAGTGGTTGTTACTCTTAAGTGTAGACACTTATCTTTTTTTTTTAATGGTGCCTGGAGGGTTTGGATCATCTCTGTGGAGCTGCTGTTTATCAGAACAAGAACCCACACAGATGGAGCAGGGTCTGGTGAGAGATGGCCCCGGGTGGTTCTGTCTCCCTGGCCTTAGGGATGTCCTCCCTTAGGGTTGGGAATTTGATCCTGGGAGGAGGAATAGATAGTGTTGCTCTGAGCTTTCAGGCCTTTCTGATCTGCTTCCATAAGTCCTGTGAAACCCTGTCTCTTACAGCACATGGGTTCATGTAGATGTGGGTTCATACACTGGGTGAGTACCTGGAGCCAGGCATGTGCCTCCCTGTGAGTGTCAGCCCTGCGGGCATGCCGGGGCGAGCCCTAGGTGGAGTCTGATACTGCCCCACAAATGTGACAGATGGGAAAGTTTTCTGGCTGTGCATCTTGGGGTACCTGTAGGTTTAGGATGACCCTCCTCTTGTCTTTGGGGCCTCACAGCCGAAGAATCCTGAATTAATTCAGAGGTAAATGTGTCACTTGAGTTGAATCCCACGGCATTGCTGTTCACCAAGGAGAGGTTGAAGAGTTGGCTCCTGAGGGGGTCTAGGTGCTTCTGCCCTCCCTAAAAGGGTAAATATTTCCCACTTCCTCCTGGTATGGTTTGGAATTTGAATGTCTTCCAAAGGTCCCTATGGAGCCTTGGTCTTCAACTTACAGTGTTATTGGAAGGTGGGGACAGCTTTAGAAGAAGAGGCCTAGTAGAAGGACATTAAAGGTGGCTGCCCTTGAAGGGCTGTTGGGACCCCAGCCCTTTCCTATCTCTCCTTGCTTCCCAGCTGCCATGAGGGAAGCAGCTTTGCCCCACCATGCACTCCCCGACACGATTACTGCCTCCGCACAGGCCCAAAGCAACAGTACATGAACATGGGCTGATCAAATGTTCATAAAGTGCCAGGGTGGAGGCAACAAGCCAGGCCCAAGGGACACCGTGCTCTTCAGGGCTGCAAGGTCAGAGAAATAATATGTGCCTACCATAGAATTCCTCTTTGCCCTGGGCCATCAGGTAATACATCTCCCACCTCTCTCTGGAGAAGACCAGAGATAACCCATCCCTGGGGCAAAGCCCTCTGAATCAGTGTCTTAATTTGTATTATAGCTGCCCTTGCTGATATGGTGGATTCTTGTTTTCATGCCATTTCAGGTATGTTAAACTACTGTGACAGATACAGCGAAGGGATGAAACGTGTCCTGAAGACTTTTGGACCCATTCCAGAGTTTTCTGGAGCCACAGTTGAGAAAGTTAACCAGGTGTGTGGACTCATTGCTGATGACCACTCTGGCTGTCACCTTCCCCTCTGCCACCTGCCAGTGGGACTCTGTCTGCAGGAGGAATCTTGCCCCCTTAATTTTGGTGGTTCCTTTTTCCTGACTTTGCCCATCCAGGTCACCGGCAGACCTTACAAGCAGTGTGACCAGTGAATGAATGGAAACTTACCTTGGTGGCCTCTAAGATTTGGAAAACATATGTTAATTGGGGTTTTCTGTTTCTTGGGCCTTTGAAAGCAATGTAGAAAAACTCGGGATGAGTAGGAACCATAAGTATACTCCTGGTAAGTTCTTTCATTAATGCTTCACCTCCCCTCCTTTTCTTCCCCAGGCCATGTGTGCGAAGGTTCCCAATGACCCAGGGCACTTAGCTGCCAGAAGGCAATGGAGAGATGACTGCCTTATGAGACTTGCCCAACTGAAGAGACAAGAGCAACCCCAGTAAATGTTTCCTAATGCTACTGTCGCTCTTCCATTGAAGCCCTGTTTGGGAAAATTGAAAGTATTCAATCCAGTGTCTCTAAAGCAGAGAGCAGCCTGGGGTGCATGGCCTGAAGATTCAGAGCCCTCTCCCTTTTGTTTAACCACTGAAATGTCTATAGGCTGTGTCTCCTGGTAACCTGGAACATCAGCCTGGACTTAGGTGTCACAGCAGCACTTGGGTTTGATTTCCTGCCTCCTGGGAAAATAGTCTAAAGATTTTAATCTTTTCAGTACAATTACTTATGGCTACATTTTATAGTCAATGATTGTGGCTTCCTGTTATTTTAATCAGTGGCAAAAATATTCTTGTAATCAATTTTCTAATCCCTTTCTGTGTACTGTGTGGATCTGCATTTATAAGGCAATTATCTTCATTATACTAATCTTTATTGTAAATAAAAGTTTTTGATTCCATAAAGACATTCTTTTTCTTCTGCTCTTCCTGAGAACAACAGCACTCAATTCTGGTTATTGGCATGTCTTGGAGTGACCACGACAGATAAGTAATGAGCAGATACTTTGTTCTGGGTCCTTTGTCTGTTATTCAGCAAAAACCATTTAGTTTGGGTCAGTACTTCCCATAGTTGGTTCCACAGTGCCCCGTGACTGTCTGGTCAGATATATTTGAGAAGTACCATTGACTGCCTACCCTTGAGGACCTCCATTCCTACAGCAAATCAAGGGCTGCAAAGTTCTACAGAAAAGAGACCCACTCTACCCATCGTATTCCATTGCCTCTTATAACATGGGGTCTTTTCTAGCCCTGGTCCCCAGAACACTGGGAAATAGTAGTTCTAAGCCACACACATCACAATGACTTTGAGCAGCAGATGCCACTGTGGGGCCCCTGGGCCTTGCTGTTTTGCTGACTGACACCTCAGCTTTACCTGGAGGGAGCTGCCTTTCCTCCAGGCTCTCCTGGTGCCGAAAGCAGCATCACTAATGGGGAACCATTTGGAAGTGGCGCTTTCTGCTGACAGACGATGTATGCCAGCCGTCACAGTCACATTCGTGTAGTCCCACAGGATATGCTGAGCAGCTGAAAATGCCAGGCAACAGCCATATGATCCCTGCTTCTGCAAAGGTTACAGAAGATAACAAAAAGAGACTTAAACATAATTGGTGCTCCAGCGGGGCCACACACGTGGGGCTCTGGTACCTGGGAGATGAGCCCTAGAAAGATTTGAGGAGGTTGCTGAGGAGCTGCTTTGGGTAGGAGTCAGCCAGCCCTTCTAGCAGGGGAAGAGTTTAAGAGGCCTGGGCTGTGCTGGAAAGACAGGCTACAGAAGGTGGGGCTTGACCTTGGGGAGCTGTGAGGCCATGCCAGTAGCTAGACCCTCACTTGGGACCAAAACCTTTTGTGGGTAGGAAGTGGCCTGCTCAGGTCAGGACTCAGTAAGTTCATTCTGATAGCAAAAGAGATGGAAGTGGAGGTGGAGATGCTGTGGAGCGGGCCGGAGCTGTGAAGCAGGCTGGGCCTGGCCATCATGGACAAGCAGTAGTGCCAGCAGGGCTGGACACTGCACTCTAGAGGGCCAGGAATCCAGGAGGAGGGGCTGGAAGTGTGAACATCCCAGATGGTAAAACCCCACTGGAGAGAGGATGTGGCAAGATGTGAGGGAAGGTCTCAGCCCAGAAAGGGCTCCTCCTTCTCCTTGATTAAGTTTTAGGTACTCCCTAAACTCTGGTGACTCAAGCCCTGTGTTTCCTACCAGGGTTGCTTCACCATCCTTGGGGTTCCCTGACACTTCTGCTTGTTTCCAGTTTTTCCTTGTGTCCAGTTCCTCCTTGCTTCCAGTAACCTGCTTTAGCCTACTCCGTCTCCTCTGCTGAGTCCCTGCACCATCCTCTGACAGGTGAGCTACTTGGGCATGGGGCACAGGTGAACCCCATATACGGTCCATTTGGCACACCGCACCTGTGAGCCACAGGAGCAAGGACCAGCCACAGAGCGAAGATACGGCAGAGACCCCAGATAAGCTAGGCAGGAGCAGCCTGGGGGATGGAAGTGGGCACCAGATGGGAACATGTTCATCTCCAGGCCGAGTTCTGTTTTCCCACTTTTGCATGAAGTATTTTTGTGTGGATTGTCAGGCACATTCTGAGGTACAGTCAACCTCCCATATTTGCAGGTTCAGAGTATGAGGATTCAACCAACTGAGGATCAAAAAATATGACAAATTCCAGAAAGTTCCAAAACATTACATGTATAGACTTTTTCTTATTAGTCTCTAAGTAAACATTGTAACAGCTATCTGGATAACACATTGTATTAGGGCTTATGAATCATCTAGAGATGATTTTGCATACGGGAGGATGTGTGTAGGTTCTATGCAAATGCTATGCCATTTTTTAAAAAAGGATTTAGGCAACTGGAGAGTTTGGTTTCCTCCATCATCCTGGAACCAGTACCCTAAGGAAACTTAGGGATGGCTATATTAAAACAGCACAGGGGCTTCATGGTTTGCTTATCACTATCATAACACATAATGAGGAAGAATGAAAGAAATGATGAGGTAGAACAACAACACCCAGAGATTTTCACCTAAAAGCTGAAAAAAATATTAGGCATCTCAAGCCTGAGAACAGTGGAAAGCACATCTGTGGCTCTGGACCAGCCAGCATTAGGAAGATGGCTCTGCAAACAGCTGGAAAGAGCTGGAATTGGTCTGACACGCGGCTGCAGGGAGAGCCAGGGATGGGAGCCCAAGCTCACGTGCAGCCCAAGCAGTCACGTCTGAAGAAAGCAACTCTGATGGAAACGCGATCACCAGGGCTTACAGGAGGCCTCTCTACTCTGTCGCTTCTTGTTGCCAGGAGTTGCAAAATGCTTAATGTCTCTGAGGAGTGGAACAGCTGCACAATGAATGCTGTGTACCCATTTCCTATGTCTGTCCTTCTGTCCAGGGTTCCATCCAGGACACTACTCCACGTGTCACTATGTCTCTCTGAGTTCCTCTCATCTGGGCCAGTTTCTCAGTCTTGTGTTGCTTTTCAGTCCTAAAGAGCCTGGGCCTAGGACCCTGGAGAATGGCAGCAGTCTTGGTTTGTCTGGCATTTTTCTCACGAGTAGTCTGGGACCAGGTTTTGGATTAGATGAGTGTCCTTGTTACAGCACATCAAGCACGTAATGTCCAACTAACATTACTAGCTAGGGTGTTGGCCTTCACCACATGAGTTTGCCAGGTTTTTCCCCTGTGAATTCCTGTTACAAAATAGGAGTGGATTAGGAGGACCAGCCTATTAGAGATGGTTCTGACTGGTTTCTGAGTCATCTTCTCAGCAAAGTATCTTCTCAGCAAAATGTCCAGCCTCATGGTGATGCACATCTCTGAGCCCAGTGTCTACTCAGAGTACCCACAGTGCTCCCTGTGTACCAAGATCAGAACGATTTCCCAGTTCTGCACACTTAGCTTTGGGGCATGCAGTTCCTGTGATTCATATCTGGTTCCTACTTGGTGTGAAGGTAAAATTTTGTTTTTGTTTTTGTTTTTGTTTTTGGTACCAGGGATCGAACTTGGGTCCTTGCACTTGGGCAATAGGCACCAAATCCACTGAGCTAAATCCCCAGCCCCAAGGTACAATTTTTTAAAAAAATAAAGGCCACAACTTGTGACTGGGAAACAATTTGCTAATGCATATAATGCATGTACAGTTCATGAATGATAAGGGAATTTTCTCATACTAATCCAAATCAAAAGACTGATGCCAAAACCAGAGCACCAATCTTATTTATTTAAATAGACTCATCTACTCCAAGTGTTGAGGTCAGAAACACAAAAACAGGGAAAGCATACCTGCTCTCATCAAGCTACACTATAGTTCTAGTGGGGGAAAGCAAACACGATCAATTGGCAAGGTGTAGACTATATCAGAAGATGGTAAGCCATGGATGAAAGCAGCCGAGGAGAGTAACAGGATGTGTGTCTCTGTGGGTGCACAGTTCGAAAGAGGTAATCAGGTAGGCTTGAGAAGAGAACAGTTGAGCAGAGACCGAAAGGAAGTGAGATTAAGTCATGACAAGATCTAAGGAAGAGCACTGCATGACAAGTTCCAACCTGGTGATGAAGAGAAAAATACAGACAACATCAGGTTTCACGAGTGGAGAGATATTGGTGCTCAGGGTGTCCTGGGGCAATAGGAAGCCCAGCTGAGTTGGTAGGGGACAGGGTTTCAGCAGGTGTGTCCTGAAGGAGGTGACATCTGCGACATCAGTATTAAAAATGAAGGGAATTAGGGTGGCAAGGTTAATTCCTGTCCCCTAGAAGAGTACTCATGCATGGATGGGACTAGGAAATAATTGTTGAAAGAAAGCACAAATGAAAGAGGGCAGGGAGCAGAGCTCCCTGTGGCAGAATTATGGCATTGTGCACTGGAACGGCCTGGCCCAGCAGTGGCTCCGCACAGCATCCTCTATGTATTTGAAAGACATCCTGCCCCAGGGAGCCTGTCCTGCTGGTGTATGTTCATACAGTGCTCCTTTCATTTCATCATGCTTGGCTTTCATCACCTTCCTGTCTAGGACAGAGACCTCCTGTTAAGTTCAGGGGGAAGCTCACTATGCACTGATTGAGTCACCATGCTGTGTGGCCATCGAAGATTTTCACTTCTGTCGAAAACCCTCCTCACCTGGCTGCCATCCAGAGAGTTTAGTATAGTTGGTGGGTTGAATATGAAAGATGGCGGTCATTTGGGTTCAGTGTCTGTCAATACGATTTTCTCTTTAGGGCTTTCTCTGAATGTAACTTTTTGCCTGCATTGCTCTTACTTTTTTTATATAAAAACAAAAGCTAGAAACTTCTGTAAATATGGTACAAAATATCATGTATGTAAATATGGTGTGAAATAACATTGTTGGTAAGACATATGCATGTCGTAAAGACATCTAGAAAAGACCAAGCAGCTTCCAGGTGCAGGTCACAAGCATAGAGGATCAGGCAGAAAGTCTGACAGAGGGCTTCGAGCCCAGGAGTTCTGCATTTTCCCTGTCCCATCCCTGGCACTATGCCTCAGTGCTGAGAGGTAGCACATGAGACCAGATAAGGGAATGGCGCTCCTGGAGAGGGATGTGTGGCATTCCCTTACCAGGCTTGGTGGGAACAGTGGGGAGCCACCCACCTGCAGCCTACAGAGGTTCACACTGAACACTTGAGTGTAGACTGTGTGAGAGGTGTTTTCTCAAGTGGGAAAAGTTGGTTAAACCGCTGAAGGAAAAAACATTGTGTCCATCTCTCAGGGCCTATATAATCTAGAGAGAGGGCCTTAATCTGTTGAGTAAGGACAATAGGCCATTAGCTCACATGTGGATATTTACATAGAAAACACTTGGAAAAAAGTATAGCAAATCACTAAGCTTGTTTATTTTGTATAGTTCTGACTTTCTTTTTTATGGTTTTCTTTATATTCTGGCTTTCACCATAAGCATGCTATTATTACATAAAGACCTTGATGTTATTCTCATTGAGTTCTCTCTAACTGCTGTGGGTCTTCTGAGTGGATAACAAGACCAGAGTTTGGAGGAGATGAGCTTTGGCATATTCCACCCACCGATGTTGGGTTTGACAGGCGCCTGCATTTGTAATTCATCCTTTGGTCCTGTAGAGCCAGAGGTGGCTGTTTCCCACAAAGAGCATCATGATGTGCACCAGGTGCTTTCTCTGTAGGGAGCTGTGTGTTCCCTGCCTGAGATCGGACTGCACATCTGCTCACCCACCATCTCATCACTACCATCACATCAGTAAATACAGTCATGACTATCACTACCACCTCCACTGCCATCAGTGCCACCCTATCACCACCACCACTGTCACGACTGCCATAACCATCACCATTGCCACTACTGTCACCACAGTGTTCTCGGCTACCGCCACCTATTCGTCAACCGTCACTGAGGTTCTGCTGTCCTGTGTGACACAGCACTGGGTCCCTCCTTTCGTGGCGCTTATGTCCTAAATGAGGGAGGCTGGAAAGAAGAATAAACATAAAGACATGAAATGGCAGAGTAATAGGTGCTGAACAGAGAGTTCAGTCAAGCATGTGACAGTGCATTGCCAAAGGCCTGCTCCATGCTGGATGGCCGGGAAGCGCTCCCTGGGGTGGGAAGGACAAGTCCAGCCTGTGCTGCTGTGGGAAGGCACAGTGCAGAAAACCCACAGCCAAAGCCCAGACTGGGAAGGGGGGAGCTCCTCTGAAGGAGTAGAAGGCAGTCTAAGTGGAGGAATGGAGGAGGGAAAGCTAGGGAAAGAGGCGGGGCTTGATCGTGTGAACATAGGCAGGATTGGATACAAATGCAGAGGGAAGTCCTGGGAGTGACGCGATCCAACAGATTTTCATTTTGAAAAGATTCCTGGCTGCCTTTGAAGCCAGAAGTCAGCAAACTTTTCTTTTAAAGATTGGGATAGTAAATATTTCACATTTTGTGGGCCGTACTCAGTCTCTTGGTATCTGTCACAACCTAGCTCTCTCTTGTATCCCCAGAGTAGCCAGAGGTAATGCCTGTGAATGAGCTTGGCCATCTTCCAACTTATTTATAGACAATAACATTTGAAGGATATAAAATCACAAAATACTCTTCTAATTTCTCCCCTAACCATTTAAATATAAAGCCCATTCTCAGCTCACAGGCTGTGCAGTGGCACATGGCAGGTGGAAAGGTCTGAAGCGGGCAGGTGGGGCATAAGGAGAGGGTCTGAGGTACATGGTGGTCCAGGCCGAGTGCTGGTGGGATGGGAAAGGGACACAGAGGTGGCATGGATGGAAGGAGAGGTGACAGGATGTGCTACTATGTCCTATGTAGGTTGGAGGAGGAGAGTAAAGTGGCTCATAGTGACATTGCCATCCAGGTCACAGGTCAGTGCTGCTCTGGCTCAGCATAGGAGAGGGTTGGGCTTAAATTGCTGTCTGAGCTTCTTGACAGAGCTTCCAGCTTGTGAGACTCAGACCTCCAGGACATGCTGGGCCTGGCTGCGGTTGCTGGGTCTGATACTGGGCTCAGGCATGTCCTGTGTCCTTGTCACACACCTGTGACTTCTGCAGAGAGGACACAGCCTAGCCAGTTGCTCTCTGAGGGGTAGCTGCCCACCGCCATGAGTTTCTGAAATCATTGTGTTATTTCTTTTTTTAATTTATCATTTAATTTCATGTCCTTAAATGAAGCCTGCTACATGTGTGTGTGTGTGTGTGCGCGCGCACGTGTGTGTGTTGGCTTGGTTTCCACCTCATTCCCCAAATAACTTCACTTCTACTCTCTATTGCATTCTAGGACCTGACCGTAGAAAAACATATATTGGATCAAAATTTGTCTCCTATTCATTAGGCCTATTATTAGAATTAATCGTAAAGAGGCTTCCCAGAGAGATGAGACAATAGTTTCTTGTTGCACTTTACATTTTCGTGTAGAGGCTGGACTACTTGGGCAGATGGTGAAATACTAGAAATGCAGCTAACAGGTGAGGTCCAGAGCCCTTTCTTGGAGGTGCTCTCCCGGATGTTCCCCGTGTCCTCTGCCGAGTGGATGTCCCAGCCACGGTCTAGCTGCTGGGTGACGCCTTCTCCTGGAAGCCCACCCCATATCTCTACAATTTCTTTGAAATTCTGCTCGGGCTTGCATGCATCATGTCTTCATTCTGCCCAGCAGCCACAGTGTGACTCCCCCAAATGCCACAAAATTCTTTTGTATCTGTTTCATTTTCTCATTCCTCATAGCATCTAGGATAAAGTAGACTCTTGCAAATATTTGTTCAATAAACTAATGAATGGGTCTCAGTTTCTGGCCACTTCTGCTGATGGGTATATAGGTAATTTGGATCAAGGCCTCA